AGCTCCAGTATCCCTTTAAGGCTGGTCACATGACGCACAGACTTCCTCCTTGGATCTTATCCCTGCATTCCTGGAGGATACAGAGAGTGGTGCTGATGTGATGACGTCTACATCATTATACAATGAATGTGGGGGGGCTGTGGTAATGGGGTCATAATGTCCTATACTCACATGCCTGATGTCATTCAACCAGGAGGACTGAGGACATCTTGTGGCAGAGAGAAGGTACTGCAGGGGATAGCGCCAGAGTGGAGGTGAGTATTCCAACCTGAGCTCTGTTTTTATTTAAAAAAAAACTCCCAAAGGGGACATTTTCTGAAAACAAATAGTCAGAAGTTGGGCTTCGACTGCTAAAGTTGTCTATATTGCACTAAACTTTATTTCTTGTCTTCATATCTGGACTAACAAGAACCTGTTACTAATGTGAAGATTAAAAATAACTCTGAAAAAGAAGACCTTTTATACTTGTCTGCTTCTCGGATTTTCACTGTCTTGCAGATGTGCGGACTCATGGGAGTACTCATATACATGGGAGTAGGGGTGCACTGATACCGATACTAGTATCGGTGCCGAGTATTTGGGCGAGTACTTGTACTCGCCCAAATGCTCCAATGCTTGGCCCGATGCTTACGCTTTTGGTATCAGGAAGTCGGGCAGTGAGTCATTACACGCTGCCCGGCAAGCCGGCTCCATGCTCCCTCGTCACTAGTGACGAGGGAGCATGGAGCCGGCTTGCCGGGCACCGTGTAATGATGTGTTGCCCGGCTTCCTGATTGGCCAGCTTCTCGACCAATCAGGAAGCCAGGCAACACGTCATTACGCTGCGCCTGGCTTCCTGATTGGTCAGAGTCTTTACACGCTTCCCGGCTAGGAAGCTAGCTGGCGAGTCATTACACACCGCCTGGCTTCCTGAATGGGACTTCCGGTATCGGTATTCGATATCGGTGAGTACAGAGAAAAAAATATCAGCGTTCGCAAGCTGCGCGTTCCCGCACTATCCATGAACGCGCCATCCCGCGCATGCGCATAAGCGGTAGATTACCAGCACGGAAACGCACCATAGCGGCGCATAGGAAGTGACATCATTTGCCCTATATAAGCTCAGCAACCGCACCACCATGTTGCTGGATTATCGTCAGCTATTCCTTGTTCCTGTGATTCGTGAAGCCCTGCTTGATTCTTGTGACCCGGACTTCCTTGACTAACCTTGATTTCTGCCTGCCTTGACCTCGGAACTGTTATTTGACCACTCTTTTGCAAAACCCTTTTTGTACCTGGATTGCCCGCTTGGATTTGACCTCGACTCGTCTCATCAGATTACGGCTTGCACGATGCTTAACACCACTGGCACTCCTGCCACTTGTTGTCCCTCTGGTCTCTTCACATCCTCAGAGTCTTACAGGACACAAGGTGCAAGGGAAGCCTCCTCTCACATCCGGTCTCCCATAAGGTACGTAACAACTTCTGAGTTCAGGTTAAACAGAATAAAAAGGGGGACCATAGTTCACTGATCCTCTTTGCTCTCCATGCCAAAGTAGGTTGCAATGCTCTTGGACTTACAGGTGAGCATTGGTCGTGGGAGAGGGTTGCCAGTCACGCCCTACTCTGCCCACATGTAGAAATGATGAGCCAGTTTTGAGCCACCGGTATCACTTCTATGAAAAAACTAAAAATAGAGGGAGAAGCGTCACAACCAGGCGAGGCTCTTGGTGGGTGGAGACAAACTGGTGGTGATTGAGAATTGGTTTCGTTGTGATGGCTGTTAGGTCTCCCGGTTCGTGATGGTGGAAGAGGAGGGTGATAATGATGGTACAGGTAAGTATGGGAAAATGGTTAAGTGAGTGAAGACTCACCGGAGGATAGTGGTGATGTGATGCCATACTGAGCTCACGGTGAGTCTTCACTTTTCAAACTAGTGATTAAACCTATTACTAAATACTCATTATGAAAAGTCTAATACATAATAACACTCTTACACATTATGGGGCTATATTATAACAGAGAGCAGATATCACTATTCACTCTCTGTTATACTCCACAAAGTTAAACACACAGCAGCTCGTATTTTGCAGCCCATTCATAAAATGCAGGCTGTGGTGCGTAGCGTGAGGTACTTCACTGAGTTTTCTCTGCTTGGTCATGAACTAAGGGTCCACTTCTTCAGGAGAATGCGGAGAACAGAAATATATGTAAGCTTATATCAAACTGCAGCCAATATGTTAAAATCATTAATTCCACTCAATTGCGCAAAGCCCCAGTTTCCTGAGTCCTGTGAGGGAACCACATGGGACACAAAATATAATGGGCTTCACTCCAAACTGAATGTAGGTTATAGAGAGGGAAGTTATGCCTAATTATCCCTTGCAATTATCATCTATGTAAAAATCCTCAATCTTAATCATCTTGTTCTATCAATGTTCTCTTTCAAAGCTTTGTTTTCATATCAGAAGCTTTGTAAGCTTTTCATATTGTACAATAAAGTTTGATTATTGAAAAAAGTGATGTTGCATTCCTGGTAACTTTTGGCAGTTTCGGCATCTCCTTGTTCTACCTGTAGGTGTGCATGCACATGCTTTCTAGCCAGGTGTCATGCCGGAGCCTCTAAAAATAAAGAACTAATGGACCAAATGTGTCCCGCCAATGCTTTTTGGCTGAGTTACAACATATAAAGAAGTTGGTCCTTACAGGAGAGAGGATAGGATGATATTTCCTCAACTCCTTTTCTTGGGAGACCTCTGGCCATCGATGGCCCTCGTTCGCTTAAGGCTCCATTCACATATAGCGTTTGTGTTTCCCGCTTGGTTGTCCGTGTGGATGACCGCACAGGACGTAAACACTATATGTGAAACAACTGCATGGATTCCGCTCGTTTGCGGCTATTATATAGCCGCAAATGTAGTTAATCAGCCGTATTATCGCGCTTGCACTGTTTTGGAGACTGCGGGCAGGTTCGCACTATTTTCCAGACCAGATCTGGTCCAGAAAAAGATGTGAACCTGCCCTTAGAGCAGCTCTGCGCGTATTCGTACAGCCGAGTGCGCACGGACAGCCGCTCCTGTGTCAATGAAGCCTACTATAGTCAGACCCCATTTTTATGCCATGTTTCTGTTTGAGGTTTTCTTCTATTTCTTATTTCCTTCAGGATAGGAAGTGAGTGAAAATGTCCCAACTGTAACACAAACAGCAATTCAAACATGCCAGGGGTTCTATCCCTTCTCTGTGTCCTATTTAGTTTTGGATAGAACTGCACTTTATGTACAAGTAATACAACAAAACACAACCCTGATCCTTATTTTCACGTACGAATGTTGCCATTTCTACCAGACTTTTTTTTTTTTTTGCATTAACATATCAAGGATAACGCAGGGTAGTACTTTGTTCTAGAATGCTTTAGATAAAATACATTATTGTCAGGATTAATATATAATATTTTATTTTCAATATTTAAACAGTGTTCAGTTTTCCAGTTTGTGCCCTTAAATTTACACACAGTTCCTTGATTGCTGGAGATTTGCAGCCATTCACGGTACGCATCAGAACTCCTGAATTTATTCTGTATAAAGCCATACACTGGTAGATTTTGGAACATAATTACATATGAAAATCTCACCAGAACATTCGATAATCCCATCAGAGACTTGACGAATGTTGCTCAAGATTTCGTTCAGTTTTAACATTTGATTTTGGAATGAAGGAGTTTCTCAAACAAAAACCACATTCATTGTTAGAATGTCATCATTTCCATCCTGTTTCTTCAATATATTTAGTCTCTAAGGTTGAAATTGTTGAAATCAAAGGATCATTCCAAAAACATTTTTTTAGACATTCTACTGGTGTATGGCTAGCTTTAGGGACACTAAGGATTTGAACATAGTAAACACTGTATCATGATGTAGCATGCATACCTCTGACTTTACCATTTAAAACTAGGGTCCCGCCCACGAAATACAAGACACGCCCTCCAAGGAAACTGGACAGTACTGAAAAATATTAACATTGTAGAATATCAAAAATACAGCAATGTTTTCCACCAAATGGCAAATAACTCTTTTTCTAACTAAAACATGGTGATCCTTAATTCCAGGTGAACATTATTGTTAGATTATGGGCGATGGCAGCCTTGCTCCTGATAAAAACCACTACCAACCAAAAATGTACTCACCCATCAACAGAATGAGGATCCATCCTGTCAGCGTCCGAGTGCGGACACCGGCACGGATATGCAACTCGGGTGGGCATACGGCCGCGTACTCCCATAGAGAAGAACAGGCTGCTGCGTACAATCACACACAGCACTTGTCCTTCCCGGGAGCGGCCCGATACGGCCATGCACGCCGCACAGATCTGTACAGGCCGGCTCTTAGCAGTGTGAATGAGGCCTTAATGTAAACCTGTATTGAAAGAAATACGGAGCCTGCTTATTGCTGACCTTCTGAAAATGAAAGTCACATGTCTGTCTCCTGATTTCATACTTTCTGCAAACCAAGAAAGTCAGAATTCCTAATCTGCGTACTTGTTGTTAGTCAGTCACTTAAATGTACCAAAGTCATTAGATCAGCATGACATCCAGGGACATAGTGAATGATTCTCTTCATTGCCCCTATAAGTTGATTTATTGCCACATATAAATAAAGTTTATTGCAATGCAAAAAACACACAGTGTCGGAGACAAAAATGACAGAAGTAATGTGAAAAGGCATGATTAAATAACTTGATAGTGAGGGAGATAAAGTAGATTTGGATGCAAATTCTAACATAAATTAGGTGGAACTATAGGAATTAAAAGGTTTTTCATTTTAATATAAAGTGTTTGCATGCCAATTATGCAGTAAAAGACACTTGAATGCAATTGCAATTATAAAGTTTGTCCTGCTGTGAATTACATTTGACTTGTACAAAATGATCGTTATAAGGATGGAAGCATGTTCAGTCGTTTAGTATTTCCTTTCTCCCTGCTGTAAATCATTAAACATTGGCAACTAAAGACAAAGAGTATTCTATCAAACATCAAGGTCATTGCTTTGACCATCTCGAGTGTTTTCTGGAAAGCAGGGAATGTCCACCGTGTCATGGTTATCCTGAGAAGCATTCTCTGTTTCTGTATTGGGGTACCCAGGACCTGTCTGAAACATATTATTGTCCCAATAGAGGCTGAGAGTCGACCTGTCATTCTGCTCACTCTCTTTGAGGTCATGCATATCCTTTGCACTTCCCCAGGGTGTCTGGACATCAAATGTCTTTTCAAAATGAGAGTAGTCAACGCGGAATGCTCCTTTCTCCAGAGTCATGCAAGGCTCAAAGCGGTGACCCCACAATATTTCATCTTCTGTATAGGAAGTCTTGGCTTGACACGTCATTCCTGTATTAAATGAGAATAAGGATACATTAGTTTAAGGGGCACTAATAGCCAAATAGTGAAAAGATTTTTTTTTAGGTATACAAAAGTTGCTTTATCATACCCACATATCTGTTTTATAGTGTAAGTGCACTTTATGTGAAAGAAATAAA